GTGTCGGATGGTAAGTTGGAGTAAAGAAGACGAGATGATCGTATTTGGTGGCAATTTTGAGTGACTTGGTATCGTTTTGGTGGTTTATAAAGTTCGGCCAGTTCAATGAGAGTATGTATGGTCGCTTTAGGCCCAAACCTCATACCAGCTATACAAAAATAAGTTTAAGAATTAATAGAAGCGAAAAAAACCGTTTTTTTTCACAGTCATTCCTATAAGTCGGCTTTAAGCCACCCTGCCTTTTGTGGGCTTGGGTTAATCTGACGCTTGTGGTACGAGGCCCCATCTAAATAGATGTTGCAGCGACAGTGTTTTTGCAGATTCTTGCATAAATCATCAAACCAGCGCACAAATTGGACGGCAGTGGAATTGCCATGGTATTCGTCGTTATCTTGCTTTCTCTTTAAGATGGATTGCCAAACCTTGATGATATTTTCGACACACACCCCACTTAGTACTGCTCCTATGCGTTTAATATTTCTGCAGCAATAATACACGCACTAACAAAAAAAACATAAACAGCTATTAATAGGATTGATTTTGCTCAAAAGAAAGTTTACTTACCGAGCTCATCGTCCAGTCTTACCGTAGTGAATCTTATCTGCAATCAACCATGTGTTGCCTGTGACGTGGTTGACGTTGCAATAAGATTCGTCTAGGTAAACTCCTGCTCTGTCGACTCCGAGGCAGGCGCTTCGCATAGTTCCTCGCATTGGATAACGCACAGCAACTCGATTTGCTACCATATTTTTTAAGTAGGTACGTCGAAACGCAACATTATCGGGCGTTTTGGCATTAATGTGCCGTTTTTTTACCTTTTAAATGACTAAAGCCCTGTTCACGAAGGACCCAAGTCATTGTGTTCACCTTCAGCTGAGCGCCACACACATCAGCAACTTCATTACATAGATGTTGAGCAGTGATATGCTGGCCTACCATATTTTGCTTTACAACGAAGTCGCGAATCTCTGGAGCAATTGTATTAAGGTCAAACATGCTGGGCCTTCCCCTGCTATTCGAAACAGGTTTTAGGAATACCGCACCAAAATATTAGATGCTAAAGTAATTGATATGTAGCTGTTAAATATCAAATGCATAAAGTTCTACCGCAACGTCGGTCCTCTGAATCGCGTTGTACACTGCAATTACGCGTGCTAAAGTGACCGTTAAACAGCCAAGGCACCCAGCAACAAGTTCTCTCGTGCATTTTCCGCTAAATAGTCCTTATTTTTCTGTAGGGCGAAAAAGGTGTAACTCCTCACCATAAATTTCTTCTCAGCACTAGTGTACCCATGTCGCTCAACTTACATTTTTGCAAAATGAACGCAAGCTAAGGACAAACGAGAGGTTGTACTCGATCTAAAAGACTCCGGGCCATCCATTGCTGGACTAATTTTGTATACCATTAGTATTCGCTGCATAATAACATTAATCTGACCGGTTATGATAACCGGTATCATGAATTATGCGGAGTACAATAGCGAGCCCCGGAACCAAGCTAGCAACAGCAAGGCCGAGAGGATGCACTGCACCATAAAAAATATGGTGCGGAGCATGGCGTTCGCTTGTAGATTCCTACTAACTTTCTGGGGCGATGCTGAAGATTACGCAGCGTACACACTTAACAGGAGCCCAAGCAAGGCAAACCCAGGCAAAGCCCCCGCTACCGAGTGCTGACACAACGAACGGCCGATCTGAGCGACATCGTGGTGTTGGGAACGCCTTGCAATGTGGATGTGGGACTCCAAGACCAAACCGCTGGGGGAGAAGAGGCCACCCTGGGTTGAAAATTGGCAAGCGTGACGAGACCGAGTGTATATCCCACGAGACATGGTAGTGGCGGTGACACAGCACGTCAGTAGCGTAGGGACCCTCTCCGATGCGCAGAACAAGCAACTTAAGCGCGTACACCACGGTGACTCGGATTCGGAGGAGACGTCCGAGAAGAAGGAGGGTTCAAAGAAGCAGCTCGCGGGAAAGGACGCGCCTGAAAATTTGAAGCCTGGAAAGAAGAAATTTCACTGGATGAGGGACCGGCACCAAACACATTCGAGGGCGCGAGCGTCAGTGGCAGTTTCAGCACAGCAAAGCGCAGACGTTGGCTAAGGAGGACAGGAGACGTCGTGAATAGTGTGCGAGAGGCTGGCCCACGCAACTACAGCCAGGCCATGAAGAGCAAGCTGAAGTAGAAGTGGCAGGTAGCTATGAAAGAGGAACTCAGGGCGCTCGTAGAAAACGGCGTGTGGACGGTGGTGGTGCCTCCGACTGAGAGCCTCGTCCTGTACACCAAGAGGGTTTTTAAAACAAAGACGGATGCAGATGGAGCTATCAAACGTTTCAAGGCTCGCCTTGTGGCTTGCTGAAATGAGCCGTTGTTTGGTATTGACTATGGGCTAACTTTCGCTGCGGTTATGGAGTTAAGTGCGATGAAGATTAATGTTAGGGTTTGCTCGGCGCTGGTGTGTGCCGGGCTTGGACGGTGATTTTTCCTAAGGCGTACGTAAAGACCGAGAAAGAGTAGCACCTGGAGATCTATTTGCAGATCCCACGAGGCATGAATGTGGGGGGGGGGGGCGTGCTGCGCAGGCTGGGAGTAGATACTAAGGACGAACTAGTGCTGCGGATTGTAAAGTCACTGTACGGTCTAAAACAGGCAGGAAGCCTTTGAAGTAAATTACGACACGCAAGGTTAGAGGAGGCCGGGTTTACGCGCTGCGTGATGGACATGTGGCCTTACTACAAGGAGCAGGGCAATGATATGACGCTGGTCAGTGTGTACGTGGTTGACCTCTTGATGGCAGCGTCAAAGGCCGAGCTGGTGGAAGAGTTTTTCTGTGCGATAAACGTTTTGACCATCAAGGACTTAGTAGGGGTGCAAAAGCTTCTGGGTATGCGAGTGGAGCTCGGCCCAGATGGGTACAAGCTGGACCAGCAGGCAACGATTGAGGATACTCGAGCAGCAGACGCAAAGTAAGTACGCGCACCCATTGGAGGAGAGAAGAACGAGGCGGAGGCAAAGGAGCCAGTGCTGCTGAAGACGGACGGGACTGGAGGAGATCCAACTGTGCGAACGTTTCAGTCGCTCGTGGGCAGCCTTTTGTGGATTGCACGCTGCACTAGGCTCGATATCAGCTTCAGAGTGCACAAGGTCACGCGACGAACGCACCAGCCGACCATGAGGGACTGGAAATCGGCTAAGAGGGTGGCGAGGTACCTGAAGAGCACGAAACACCTGAAGTTCGGCATGCAGGTCGCGACGGACAAGGGCCGCGAAGCTGCGATCAACGGCTATAGCGACGCGGACTTCGCCGCCTCCAAGGGAGACAGGAAGTCTGTCAACGGTGGCGTTGTCACCATGGACGGCGCCGTTGTGATGTGGGTCTGTAAGAGACAGACGGGAGCTGCATTGCCCACCATGGAGGCCGAGTTTACGTCGGCCTCACCTCGGAAGAGGGCTAATGGGGCTGAGGGAGTTGATTTCGGAGCTCCGTTTCAAGGTGGCGCTGCCGATGCTGATGGATAACCACGCCGTTATCCAAGCAGGTGGCGTCCGAGGACGGCATGGCCAGCGCGGAGCATGTAGATATTCGCATTTTGTGACTACGCCAGGAAGGACATCGTGAAGCCCGAGTACGTGGAGTCATGAATGATGAAGGCCAATTTGCTGACAAAGGCGCTTTCGGCGCCGAGGATGGCAGAATTGCGAGATATTTTTAACTTTTAAAGAAACGTGAAGAGCTGAGATCGCGACGACCGATGAGGAGTGTAGGAATGGGACCGTAACACCGGTTCCATGACCGGTTCGGCCGCCGCACTCATAGGATTTGCAGTCGCTGATGGCTGGTAAGAAGGGAGGTAGGAAAGCCTAATGGCAATGGTCACTTCTACTTCTACACCGTAAACATCTATATCTAATAGCTAATAATTTTTGTGTTCTAAACGTGACATAGCGTTGACCTGGAATTAAATTATTACGTATGTGTTGAAATTGAACGGCCAAAACTACTACTAAGTTAATTTAAAATCTGAACTTAAATTAAAAAAAATTGGTGAACAAATTGAACTAGGATTTTGTCATTTTAAAAGTCACAGGCTCGTACCATTCAAAATGGTACGTGATACTATAGTGCGACAGTGGTTTTTCCATGAGTCAAAGAGGTATGCCCTTGCATTCAGATTTTCACAAATATGCAGACGCAGCGTACCTAAACGTGTGATCGAATAATTTCTTGCTCTCCGTCGACCAGGAGTCTAAAACTATGACGCTCATTTACGCCATTAGAAATGACGATTTTATACCAGCCTTCTGGAATCCACATCGCGATCGAGTCGTGTGCTGGTAGGTACACAGTTCGATCAGACACGTTGGTCAATCGAATGCTCTGAGGTCGTCCACGTCGAAACCTCGTCACTGACGGGATTAGCTTGTTCGTTCGACGAACCCACAGTACGTGTTCTTCCGACTTTATGATCCCAGCCGGGATCCGGTTGGACCTGTTCCACGGCGCGGCGCAATTACCGCACGAAGTCTCAATCCCGCTGATAAAGACCAAGAACATGATCGACAGCGAAGAATACGGCTCCCATGTTAACGCCGGGCCACCCGAGCGGTTGGACATTCAAGCGCACGAGTGGCGAGAATACCGACTAGCGAAGCGTCAAGTCGGGCTGGGTTTCCTTGTTCATCCACAAGGGCAAGTGTGCCTCGTTGAACCGTGAAACTCAGCTCAATATTCTGAGCTGGCTGTAAGCTCAATCGACGGTAGTCGAACAACTGTTGATTCAGAAGTGTGGCAGGTCCCGCAGCGCTCGTGCTTATCGGTTTGAAATAGGCAAACACCACCTCATCACCAGCGACGGAGCCATTATTAGAGAGTACAACCGATATCGTAGCATTCGAATCTTTCGTCACCACTTTTGCAGTGTTTGTTGGATCGCTGGCCACGAGATGGAAAGTTGTATAGCTTAGACCCCATCCAAAGGGAAATACTGGCTGGCCCTTAAAGTACCGATACGAACGACCGGGGATCGCAGTCATGTTCATACTCTTCATGTCCACAGAGTCAACATGAACGATACATCGTCACAGGTAATTTACCATTCGGATTCGCATCGCCAAACAAAACATCGGCCATGGCTTGTGCTCCAAAGAAACCAGGGTAAAAGGCCTCTACCAGTGCATCGGTTTGCAAGATCAAGTCTTCTGCCCCCAGTACGCCACCATTGATAAGTACCACAACTGTGGGCTTGCCTACAGCGCGAACACGCTGAAGAAGCTGCATCTGAATACTTGGCAGTTTGATGTCGTTGCGATCGTTCACCTCCTCCTCAATTGAGGTGTCGATCCCAAGGAAAAGTACAACCGCATCAGCTTCTTGCGTCACCTTTACTTTAGTTTCTTCGAACCCGTCCGTTGAGTTGCCCGATATGTTGCAGCCAAGAGCATACGTTGAAGTAGCAGCACCATTCGTAGTCGAGACAGCTTCCATGGGTGTTTGAATGCACCCCACTTCGCTATACCCACCATGGCACATTTGGCCAAGATAGTTACCCAGCAGGCCCCGTTTAGACTCTGCGTGCGGACCCAAGACTGCAAGTTTTGTGCCCTTACGCAATGGTAGCACTGAGTTGTTATTCTGAAGCAGAACAATCGACTTTGTGGCGAGATTAAGAGCCAGCTGCCGGGATTTGGGTGTGTTCACATCGCTCGGCTTCACGTGCCAATACGGTTGGTCATCGATGGGATCGAAGAGACCGAGCTCGAATCGAAGTTTCAGCGTATGGCGCAGAGCGTCGTCTAGCGCCTTTTCCTCGAGTTGGTTGCTTCGTACCAGCTCTGGCAAGCACTTCATGTACCCGAAGAGCCTGCCGCTATTCACATCCGTGCCGGCAAGGATGGCGATTCGTGCAGCTTCACAACGTGTGGCGACGTAGTGGTGTCGATCGGAGATGGCTTCGATTGCTCCGGAGTCACTAGTAATGTGCCATCAAAGCCTAGCTTGTTTCGTAGTAGATCGTTCTCCAACGCATTGTTCGCGCACGTTGGGACCCCGTTGATGCTGTTGTACGAACACATGACACCCGTCGCGTTGCCATCAACGATCGAGGAGCGGAAAGCGGGGAAGTACGTGTCCGCGAAGTCATACGGTGACACGATAGCATCGAATTCCTTTCGGTTACCACCACCGTAATTCTCGTACGAGTAAGCGATGTAATGTTTGAGTGTGACAACAGCTTGAAGGTATCGCGAATCTTCTCTTTTTCCTTCTTGAAGTCCTTTGGTGTAGGCAACGCCGTACTTAGCGGACCTTCAGACGGTGTCTCGGTATTGCGCCCCCAGCGAGGGTCTCGGTTGATGTTAATGTTGGGTGACCAGCAGTCCAATCCGAGGTGAGGGCCTCCTCCCAGCCAATGACTTGTGCCATCTCACGCACTGCCTCAGGGTCGAAGATTGCACCCATATTGACGGGATTTGGGAATGATGTCGGACAATTGGTACCGCATGTTGATTGGACGCCGTGCACGCAATTAGCACCCCAGTTATACTCTGGGAGACCAATGCTTGTCATGTTTCCGCGCGGACTAGCACGAGCCGTTAGCAGAATGGCCTTCTCGCCCAACGGCAAGCGCGCCAAAAGGTCTTCGACGCGCTCTGTTGTGGAGAGGGAGGTGTTGCAAAAGGGAAGCTTCTGGTTCTCGTCACTCACACAAGCACGCGGTATTTCTACGTCGACGGCTCGTCCAATCATGCTTACAACAAGAAACAGGAGAGGAAGTGTTATTACTGAGGAGTGGTTTGGGTGATACCGGTATGCTCTTCGCCAAAATGGGACTGAGTTGCGCGTTTAGAAGTAAAAGGGAGAATGGTTTGTTGTTCGCCATAGCCCAATCCACGTTGGGTCTATCCCAAGAGCTTCTTTATCCGGACGTATGCTGCGAGATGCTGCGAATGGAAGATGAGACAGGCTCTCAAAGGTATCAACGGTTTCAAGAGCCGCATGTAATCGTGAGTCATAAGGGCAATTAGTTAGTGGCCATCGTTGCGTTGTCAGTGGTAAACAATTGCGTACTAAGGCAGTTTATTCTAAGACAGTTTACTGTACCAGGACCGCAGAATAGTTAGAGATACTGTACGTGGAGGATACCTAGTTTGCATTGTACTTAAGTTTATGGTGAGCCAATCGAGCAACCATGTTAACGGAGCAAAAATACGGTTTTAATACATGTACAGTACTGTGATACACGGTAGCCATTGGCTTTTTTAATAGTTAGCCAATCTTCAAGATTATCGATTACCCTTGCTAGTAAACACGCTTGAGTAAACATTTTTTTCTACTGTACCGCATCTGACAACAACACTTAAAAACAAGGGAGTGAATCGTGCACCCATCTGGAGACATGAATTTTGATTGGCCTTTCTTACCACAAACTTTTTACCTCATCCGTAGCGTAGTATACGTCGTATACCTGTGCCATATACCGTTTGAATCGTACACCCCTCGTTTGAATCGTGTCCCTTTGAATCGAGTACCCCCTTCCCCCTAGCCATTTGAAATTCTGGGCGGGAAAATAACTCAGAAGCGCCGGCAGCATGCTGCTGCGAGCGACGAGAGCGACGACAGTAACGAAGACGACTGGACTGCGCCGTCCGAGGCCTCGCGCTCGGCATCGTCTGGAACCTCCAGCCAAGTGGACACGCTCAGTGACAGCAGCAACCACGTGAATCTCCTGTCTGGTCTATCTGAAGAGCCGCACCCTCTTCAGCGCACGCAGCTTAACTCATGGGAGTCGTTCCATGCCTATTTGAACGAGTACAGCGCGCAAACGTACCATGTACATCAAGTGTGTTGTTTAATAAAAATGGTGAGTATTAACGTTGAGTATGTTAGCGTTTTCGCGTCCGGACGAACAACAAGGTCAAGGAGCGCAACAAGAAGATAAAGAAGGAGAACTCACGAGCGCCTCTGATCCCGCTAGAGTGGGGTATGTATAACAAGACGCTGGTTTGCACGCACGCTGGCACGCTCAAGTCTCGGGACAAGGGCAAATGTGCGCGACAGGAGTCACGCGCAACGAAGTGCGGAGCGCAGGTAAGTGGCTAGATGGGCTCAGATGGGCTCCGATGGCTTTCACTTGGGTGTTGATTGGCACAGATGGGTAACGCATGCTCGAAATCGACCAATGCATCTGTATGTATGCCAGATCAACGCATGCGTCCGTGTGTGTTTAACAACAAGCCCGACGACCTCGAATTTGCCCTGTGCGTGACAGCTGCAAAGCTAGCGCACAACCACAGGCTCGACCAGATGACCATCAGCAGTACGCGTCCGTGCGCACTGCTCTTCCAACTCGTGTAATGAATACGGCTGACATTCTTCGCAAGGCAGGGGCTAAAAAGAAGCGGATCCTTGAGTACATCCTCGAGAATGCGGACAACAGTGTGGAGATTCGTGACGTGCATAATCTCGTCCGCAAGCTGAAAGAGAGAGAAACGGCAGGGACGATGAGCAAGGTGCGGCTGAAGACATGGCTGACAGAGTTCAGAGAGGAGCCCGGTAACAGAGGACGCATCTTCGTGGATAACCGCGGAGATAAGGTATGATGGCGTTCGTTTGTGAATAATATGGTGGTCTAAATTGACGCACACCTTTCCGGACTAAGTTGCAGTGCGTGGTCATCGACAAGGACTTCACCGAGATGTCTGTCCTTAAGGCTGCGTTTCCCGGTGTCTGCATTCTCCTATGTCAGTTCCACGTGCTCAAGTACCTCCGTGAACAGCTAGCGTCCTCCGAGTATGGTCTGTCGCCGTGGTAGAAAGCTCGGTTGCGGAGCGTGATTTCGTTAATGGTGTACGCGATGACGGAGCGTGAATTCTTCAAGCATCGGGAATACATGCGCCACATACTCTCAATTGGCATGGAGGCTTCGGGTCGCGAGACCAGCGCGGACAGGGGCGGCAGCTTTGCACGGGCCGCAGTTATTCCCCGTGCAGATGGTCCTCAGCTGGGCACCGACGGTAATTTAACCATCCCAAACCATCTAGATGGACCAGCTGATGATGCCGAGACTCATCCGTTTGAGGCATACTTCCACAAGAGCTGGGACAACTGCAAGGTGATGTGGGCCGCCTATGAGCGTCAAAGCGCTGTGACGATGGGAAACAACACCAATAACCGGCTGGAATCGTCGTGGAAGCACTTGAAGGACACGATGAACTGTTTCATGGATTTAGACGAGTGTGTAGCCTCCCTTATCTGCTACCAGGTTCGCGTAGAGCGGGCATTCGATGCTAAAGCTACCAAGGTCGGTATGGTGCACAATCCCAAGTATGACAGAGAGATGTCACTAGTCGCAAACCTGGTCAGCAGACACGCATGCGAAATTACCAGCCTTCAAGACTATTATTGAACCACACGACCTAATCCGCGTACTCCCGAAGGACATGCTCAACAAAGGTGGAACCAAGGTCGTGGCACTCCAAAAGAAGACGAAAAGCCTCGCGGAGCGTGATATTACTGTGGAGATCCCAGGTTTGGGGGTTTTGTAGACGGCTACGCTTGCCATCATGAAACAATACCATCGTGCAATTGCGGCCGTTCGACAGGATTCCAACGGTAAACCTGACTCTGGCCGTTGGTTTCCATTTCCAAGCAGAGGAGGATCCATCGCTGACCGACAAGATCGAATCGCTCCGGCTGTTGTCTTCGGAGGTAAGCTTGGCTAAACTATATAACACTAACCACAAGCTTCTAATTTTGTAATGCTCTACAGATGGAAGTGCTAGATCTCGCCGCGACCGGGTGCTTGAGCGAAGACACCATGACCACGTTAATGACCAAACTTTTCGGCTCAGATCCAACGAGGATCCTAGGAAATGCAAACTTGGTAAGCGTGAATCTGGGCAGTGACGTCGTGGTGGATCGCGACGGTCTCGAAGCGCTCTTCTCCGTGGAGCGCGCGATGATCCCGGTCAACTGCAACGGCAACCACTGGAGCTCGATCATGGTCGACTTCACAGAGCATAAACTTTTCTACTACGACCCGATGGATTCAAGCTACAAGGTGGGGCTTCGTGCTGCTACACAAGTAATCAAGTCAATGGTTCCATCTTTGCAGTCGCGCACTGGCCGTGTCCAACCGTACACAAGCACGCTCGGCGTCCAGACCGACAGTTACAACTGCGGCATCTATGTTCTGGCCACCTTCGAAATTTTTAGTGGCCTGGGTTCGTCGAAAAAAAAAACCTCCAGCACCTGCGCTACCGATACCTTAGTATGTGCACGTAAAATTGCTTTGAGAAGATTTTAATGTCATGCGAACCTTTGTTCAATGCTGGATGGGTGCGCCTGCTTGAGATTCCGACAGTATTACTTGTGACCCAAACGCTAAAATACTCGGTAGCAATCATGGTGACAATGTGTGGCGATGTGTTAATGTGGGCTGACAGAGAGAGGACCATCCTTTGATGCAGGCAGGTTCACTTCCGGATATACACATTACACACGTATATCTCGACAACTCATCAACAACCTGATGGGCTCAGATGGGCACCAAGTGGTCGTGGATGGGTGTCAGATGGGCACGATGGCTCGTCTCTGATTCTCTCAGATGGGTGCAGTAACACGTGCCTAAAAACAATGAACAGTGTGTGAACAGTACACAAACATCTGGAAAGTCCACACGGATACTGTAAAACACACATTGAACAGAATTAAAACACATAGATGCCTGAAGAGAAAATATGAAAAATCAACAGCGAGTGACGTAATAATCCACACGGATGTGTTGCCAGTCCACAACAGGCACACACCTTCCTTTGGCGCACTGGTTTGCATGAGAGTTGGAGTTACGGCCAGCCCCTCCAGCTGAAGCTTGGATATATAGCGGGTTTGTACATCGTGGTCAGTGCCACATGCAGCTGTTCGCTCAATCGTGCTTTGATCTGATATTTAATATATTGTGCATTTCAATGCTTTTGTTCTTTTCACTTAACCTGATGCTCATTTTATAATAAATAGAGGTCGTTTTATTAAATCGAGGTCTATAAAAAGGACAAATCGATCTAGCTAGACCGGCTGATAAATGAAGCAACGGGATCGATCAACCACCAAATCCACATCGATATTCTGTAAATCGACCCTTTTTGCGTTATGAAATGGTAATTCGATCACAGATAAAATAAATCGATGCCTCCCTCTTCCCATCTCATTTTTACGCGTGGGTGCTCCGATCTAGGCTATAAAATGGATGGGCATTTCATCTGCAAAGCACACTAACATGTGCACGTAAAAATATTAAATGTTGAGCGTTCCAACCAAGCCATAGGGGCTCTTGAATATTTTTTTAATTAAACTTTGCCTCGACTAGCAGTTGTCACTTTAATCGGGAATTGTATTCTCGGCAGTATGCTTTGCAACGACGTTGGGGACTGCTATTTTATTACTGTTCCAATCCTCAAAGGGGTGAGCCGAGACCTCAGAGATACCATATCTACTGAGAGACAACAGGTTTTTGGCAGTGACCAAGTGTTCACTTCCTCACACTAGTACATAACCTGTGAAGGATGCGCATGAGGTTGTGGTTCATAAAACTTAACCAAGCGATTGCTACAATACATACCATGCCTTCACTATCATATTGCAATTATTGAGTCGAGCGGCGATAAGAAACCTTTACCTGGCGATTTCAATGAACATCAGTGGCTACATATGCTATATATGTACCTGTTTCTATTAATGCTGTTGTGGCC